CTCAAAGTTGATCTTTTGGGTGGACACTGCCTTTAAGGCCTAGCATGACGTTTTCCTACCTTGGAGGTGCATTTTGGCCATCTCTCTTAGCTGGCTAAATTCGCTTTGGGCAGATTCGAATGATCTTTCATTGGTCAGCTTGGAAATGGTATACAGTAATCAGGACAGTTAAACAGCTATTCACTAAGAAATCAATGAAGCACAATTAATACATAGGGGGTACATAACCACTAGTTAACGGAAACAAAGCGTACGATCTTCGATCAGTGTATCCTACCCCTTGTCGACCCATTAGATATCTTGAGGAGCGTGGATTGAACTGCCGTTCGCCTGCAAGTTATAGATTGCATGCATCGCGTTATTTTTGCCAATTTTTTCGTAAAAATACCTCTATGACTGTACATATGATAGGCGAGTTGACGACTATCGGCATAACTTTTTGAGCAATATTCACATATATAAGGTTTTGAGCGGACGTCGGAATAGACCTGCGAGGATGTGCTCAGAACTATCAGGAACTGTCGAGAACTGTCAAGCTGGCTTTCAACTTTACCTTCATTGGATGCTTCGGCTCATAACCCTCTTCCACAAATGCTGGAGTAGGCATATCTTGGAGAAGCGTAACACGGCTAGTTGACGAGTGAACAAGCGTTGCACTTCCGTAAAGCTCCTATAGTTCTGATTAATGTATGCTACTCACGTCCAGAAACTGACCTTGGCTTCCTTCTCCTCTTTGAGATCTTCTGGATGCTTATGGTATAACATCTCTGTATAAGAAAAGAAAGTTCGCCCACATTCACACTTGTATCCTTTTGTTTCTGAAACGATAAAAGCTGCACACTAGATCTGGAAAAATCTAATGTTGCTTCGGATTCCGAACAGGCATCTTTGCTTTTTAAACAACTGCAGGTAATGTTTTCATTGATGGAAGCAAAACCTGGCAGATTGCACAGAATAGAAAAGTGGTGGACCGTTTCTGCCGTCTTCACCATTTTTTTTT